CCTACACTCAGTGAATATTTGCTAAAAAATGAATGTATACGGGTATGTTTTCAATAACAGAAAAAAAATCTGAAAAGACACAACAAACTGTTAACAGCTATTAATTCTGGAGAGTGAAATGACTGGAGCAGAAAAAAGGATTTTGTACTTTTTGTTCAAAACAATTCTAGATGGTTTGACCTTTTTGATATAGAAATAGTTTTGTCAGTTAATTAAAAACAAAGAGAAATAACCTTCTCATTAATATGTGTATGCGATGACATCTCAGATAATTCTAAAATGACACGTGTAAATTTTAAATCCCTGTTCAATTACAACTCATGGGTGAGTTGGCAAAGCACATGGAAGAAATAAAAAGAATACTGAGAAAAGTAACACTGATACTAACTGTTCTCTAAGAATTATGAAATAAACCCTTCTGAAGAGTCTTTCGAATTTTAAAGTTGGGATAGTAGGGCAGAGAGAGGCAAATCACCCTGCCGTGCAGACCTCAGGAGGGACAGGCATGGGACCTACGGGGCACAAGTCAGGACCAACAAGGCCCCGTGCCATGTCTCAAAGAATGGGAACCACTCAATTTTACTGTATTAAGTTTGTGCTCGCCCTGCTCTCAAAGGGGATGTGAGACAGCTCACATTACGACTGTGTATAACAGGACCATGAGATGGGTCATTCGAGGCTGTGAACTCAGCCCTACAGCCAGGGCTGCAGAGGCACGATGTACCCCTCTGCCAGGAGGTATCGGGGGGCGGGGGGGGCGGGACGGGACATCTTATTAACAGACTTCCTAGCGGCTCAGACGAGAGGGAGCGGCGATGTGGGCCAAAGGTTCCACCTCTGACCCTTCTCTCCTCTCCAGCCCCGCACAGAATAACCAGTTCCATGTGGAGGTGACACCCAGGCCAGCGGGGGTCCTACCACCGTCCATCTTGCCCCACGTCACCAGGGGCAGTTTGACCTCGGGGGTCCAGGAGGTGAGTGCCCACGTTAGAATGAGGCCAGGCTCTCACTGCATGACCCTGGACAAGTTCCTTTAGGGACCTCAGCTTCCTGGTCTGTAGACTAGAGGTAATGATAGTAGCTGCCTCATCAGTATACTGTGAAGATCTCCTAAGAGAATTCATTGAAAGCACTTAAAACAGCGCACTTAAAGGGACATGTTAATGCCAAATGCAATTAGTAGGATTATACAGTCATCAGTAATTAGCTCCACCTTTTTCCAAGGGAAAATCAGAAAGCAATGAGGCTCCGAAGCCGGGCTACGTCACACGGCTTCCCTCCTCTTTTCCCAAAGCTGATGTGGAATAGCTCCGCCCCTTCTGCTTACTTCAGCATCGCCTGCTTCTGGCTGTCAGTTTATTTAAGATACAAAAGCCTATTATCAGGAACAACATTTTAATTTGGTGAAATTTAGTATAGTATCTGTATTTCTTTTGATATATCAATTTAGCTAAATGGAAATGGATGAATCTACAGTTTCACCTTTCTGTCATTACTGTAAGGAGAAATGTGCTACTAATGACACATCTGTGATGTTTCATCAGGTTTCCATGGTTGGGGCCACACTGCCCTAGTATTCTTCCAGCACAAGTAACTAAACATCCTTGGACAGAGTCTAAGCTTGGACAGAGTCTAAGACAAATCTACTTTACACTAAATCCCACTCTGATATTAAAGAAGTGTTCCAGTACAATAAAACAGAGACTTCTCTTTATTCTTCTAATAGAAATGTGCATATTGGTGAATATAATGTTTATAACGCCAAGTTTCTCCTCATATCAACTTTGTGTTATAAATCTATGCAACAGTGATAGGGTTAGTAATAGTGGATACAAGGTCACTTCATAAGAGTAAAAGAAACCCCAAAATACAATTAGAACTCAACTTCCTGAAATTTTTAAATGCTATATGGCTTCTCTGCCTTCCAAATAATAATTGATCTTAAGTTCACTTATTTTGGATATCAAGGTTCCTTTCCCAATTTCACAACATAAAATAAAATTATTTATCACATAATAGGCTTCTTTATGGTCTGTTAAACTATTGTTATTTGAAACATTTGGGGGAATCAAAATAAAATATAAGAACTGCATTTAAACCAATTGCATTTAAAGCTCAAAACTTTTGAATTAACACTACAATAACAGGTCAACTTGTTAAACTTGGATTGTTTTAGAAAAGTTTCATATAGTTAAAACAGGTATGCTGAAGACCAAATTTAAATGTGTTACCACAATCTCACTGTTGTAGTACTTTGTGACACAAACTTCTCAGTTTGTTAAAAGGAAAAGAAAAAAATAAAGACATGGCATTTACTAAAGTTTAAACAAGTTGATCATAAAACTCAAGAACTTTAAGCCCTTTACGCGTGTGCTACAGGAAGAAATACAACAAACAAGCAGTCAGCGTCACTTCCTGTGTTGCTGTGATACAGAAGAGACACTGGGAAACATGGACCTGTGTGTTTACTGATATTAGCTGTCTGACCTGTGACAGTTCAGCACCAGCCAATTAGAAAGGATGCACGGATGTTCATTTGCATTGATTAGCATTTTTCTATAACTGAAATGCAGAAGAAAAAAAAACCACTAGTATTTCATAAAGTCCATTTGAGTCTGTGTTAATGCAAACAGACTTGTAAAAAACAGCAGTGTTTGTGAAAGAACAACAGAATTTTCTTGACTTGTGTGACAGTCTTCTTAGTATTGTCCAAATACTACTGCACAAAGGTCTCAGTTTAAGCAAAAGCAATTCAGGGGGGGGGAAAAAAAACACCTGTGGGCATAAGGAATAAATTCAAAATAATTAAAAATACTTTCGTTTAAAACCCCCTAAACAATTTTTTAAAAGATAGCCACTTACCTTCCCAATATCTTTTCACTGATATGGAAAGTTAGAGGAAATTACAAGATTAACTCTAACTGCCAGAGGTTATCACTATGTTAGTTATAGAACCAAACCAAACTGAAACACATTCATTTACACACACACACACTCTCTCTCTCTCTCTCCCTCCCCCTCTCTCTCTCCCTCTCTCTCCCTCTCTCTCTCTCCCTCTCTCTCTCTCTCTCTCTCTCTCTCTCTCCCCGCCCTTTCAGGTCCTCCAAGGTTACGTCGTTCTGTGAAGTTATAGATATCAGGGAGTTCTACTTAAACACATACACACACACACACACACAAAATCTATCTGAAATTCTTTAGCACAGAGCTGTATATTGCAAGTACTTTGTTTCTAACTCTTAAGCAAATCAGTAGGTACAGGGAGAAGTACTGAGAGTGCACCAAACCATTAGAAAAGGTCAAACCCGCTTCCAGGGGCTGCTTGCTTTTCTAGCAGGATCCTCAGTAACTGCTCCTTGATAACTTAGATGTCATTCACAGAAGCCACATTCCCAGCCATCCCAGAGGACCAAGCTGGCATGCTTCCAGGGAACGTAACAAGGAAATAATGTTTAACGGTCACGTGTAGGGGTCCCTTACTTACTGTCCAATCAGCGAAGGCAGTGTGCTTTACGCACAAGAACCTAAATTCCTGATGTTTATTTCAGGGCCAGTTTTTTTGACTGATTCCTATAAAAGTCTCCAAAAGCCAGGAGACTCTAACACTGGAAAATTGTGCAGTGCTGCTGTCCAGAAAGTCACTAACTTGTTCAGAAACTTTAGTGTTTTACACAAATACATCTCGACTCTGACCGTCAGATGTCAGAAGCCTGAAGACGAGCTACATATTACACTGTGACTTTTTGTTCTGCAAAATAAAAGAACTGACAAGGAACCAAACTTAGCAGAAAATTAGAAACGTGGGTGAAGCTTTAAATGAACCAACACATTAAGACTATGTTAACACTAACATATATATAAAAACATCAAAAGATACATGTACAGAAATAAATGAAGAGTCTCAGTTTTATTTATCACAGAGTCAAAGATGGCAAAACCAAGAAGTCAGGAGTTTAATTCTGGGCTGGCCCCCAGCTCTCATCACTATGGATATAATATTCCAGACGACAATAAAGCCATCTCTACAGCAGCTCTATGACAAAGCCAGGGAGGTCCAGTGCACTCGATATGCAGCTAAAGTTACCCACGCTAAACAACCACAGCTCGGGATCAGAATAATGGTATTACCTGAACACCTGGGTCCTCGTCTTCTTCAGGAGGAGATGATGGGGGTGTTTTGTCTAAGTCTGAATTCTCAGAACCTTCTGTTTTTCCCTTGTTGGCCTTTTTCTTCAAAGCACTTGCTTCTGAATCAGGTTTCTTATTACTAGAATTCAAAGTGGATCACTTAGTGTTCACTTTTTAACAAGGTTTTTCGGATGCCCCACGCCTTATACTTCCCACGTCAATATCCCTAAAGTATCGATAAAAATTGATAAATCAATGCATGTGGGCCATCGAGAGTTAAACAGTACTCTCAATTAAGTTTTTACAGCAAAACCCCATACTGATGACCTTCAGCAGATATCTGACCTAATGAAAAAGAAACTGCATGCAAAAACTCCTAATACCACACAGAATACATTTGTTCATCTAGACAATGCACGATCCCTGCCAATACACCAAGCCATAATGAAAAATTGGATTAAGAAATCATTTTGCTATCAACTTTTTAAGGTACCAGAAGATGGTTTTTAAAACTGTCAAGGAAAACTAGAACATAATGATCATTTCTTCTGTGTCTCTTGTAGATAGTTTTAAACACTCCTGTTTAAGTCCTTTTCTTGACCAGTTCTACTAGGTGTCCTCTTTTATAACATTCAGATACATTTTTATCCAATTTATAACCTTTTAAAACATAACAAGATATATAGCAGTTCCTCTTCTACATAAATTTATTTAACGCTGTATTCTTAAGTAAAAATCAGCTTTATTTTGGTGCTAGACAATTTTTTTTTTTGAGGTAGTCACAATGGCCTTTTTTTCAAAAGCTGGGTCTCCAAAATACAGAAATATAGCAAAGTGACCCCAGCAATTCAAGGGTGCATTCCATAGTATGTTTCCATCAAATGTTAATAGGATTTGAATGTTACATAAGTCAAAAAACAAGAATGAACTGTAAGAAAAAAAATTTTTGAAGTTTACTATCACCTTTAGAACCTTTATTTGCCATCCTTTTAGAATGCACACTTGGTGCTGCCTTCCATACCAATTTCCAAAACCCAGCCCCAAGGGTTTTCTAATACTGATTATTACCATTTACTATCCAACATTTCAAATAATCCAACCTCAGTAATAATTATTTTTACTATTTCAAGAAAGCCTAAAATTCTAATAAATTTTGAAAACAAAAGATACATTTCGAAAAGCTTTGAAAAGTTTATTTAAGTTTGTAAATTCCTAGAAAAGTATGCTGTCAGAATGCATTAAACAATATTTTTTTTCAATCCCAACAACTACAAAAGGAAAAGAAGCCAAGATACCAATATGCTTTTAAGTAAAGCATGTCATGTAAAATGTTTCAAAAGTATTGAGCATAATTACACACCTAAAAGGCATTTTTGTAATGAATAAATACAATATTTGATAATCATAAACTAGTCATTTTCAAATACTCAGCTTGTTTTTATTTTGTTCTGTTAATATCTGAGCCTAGTAAATGGCCACATAAGGAAAAAACTTATGACAATTCAGATTATAGCAAGCAGCAGTTAGGTTTAAAGAGTTCTTTTTAATTTAAAAAAAAAAAAGGAGTGTCCTAAAAACTTTAAGCCCCCAAAAGATCCACAGAAAGCATAATATTTTTTAAATTAAAAAAAAAAAAAATCCATACAACAGTTCTTCATCCAACTGTCCTAGTGTTTACGCTACACATGGACAGAAGTCTCCCCTACTATGAGGCTCCATTTCCAGCATTTATTTCCGCTCTAACTGCCACAAATTATACAATACTACAGCTGAACACTGGGCCCCTTTCCTTTCATCTGCACGCCAAGAGCAATCAGATTACCCTGGTAACCAGCGGTCACATGACCAGCACCTGCTCTTTTGGCTGGATGCCACTGACTAAAGCCATCTGCTTCCCTCAATCAGCTTTCAAACATTCTCAACACCTGCGCTGCAGTGTTTTGTGGTTTCTTTTATCAAATCAGTGCAAAACTGCTTCCAAAACTTTACATATTTCTCAAATTTGTTTAAATCAGAGGTAGGCCTGTCACGGAGTTGAACCACTGCCAGGTAAAGAAAGCTGGCAGCAGGTCCTTCCCCAGTGCCCTCTCCACGCCACAGTGAAGGACACAATTTGATTTAGTGGGGTTCCTGCACCAGGGGTAAACTGTCCTACGGGAGAAAAAGGCTTACTGCCTCGGAGCCCGCCAGAGCCCAGGTCTGAGGAGACGTCAATCTGCTGGAGGAGAGAAGTGCTAATGATGTTCCGTCTGTCCCAAGGATGCACTCTGTGGAACCTCCAAGAACGTGCAAAGTCAGACAGGACCTCTCCAAATGCCCGGACAAAATGCCTGTAGCCAAGGGAAGCAGCCACCCCAGTTCTGATGACTGCAGGATTCCTAAACTCAGTGGACCTTGAGCTATTCATGCTGCCCCGAGACATCTAAGCGTTTCCTTGCTAACATCTTCTCGTGACATCAACATACAAATCAAAAACACACCAAGCAGTCAAAAAAGCTACAAAGTCGTCAATGTTCACCCCAAGACATTACAATCAAAGACAAGATAAAGTTATTTATATCAAATTGCCTTTGCCACTATTTTGCAATACGCTCATTTGGATTTTCAACTGTTATATTAAAACTGCTTTGCCCCCAAAGAGCTAAAGCCAGAATTTTTTTTTTTTTTTTTTTAGCCAACGAGGAGCACTGATTTCAGACAGCCCTCAGTTCAAGTTCCAACTCTGTCATTTATAACCTGTCTGTCTGTGACTCTGGATACGTCATTTCATTTCCCTGAGTCTCCGTTTTCTCACCCATAAAATGAGGTTAGTAATTACATTTTGCTCCAAGATTCGACCTTTCCAAGCACCTGGCACACTCGACTGGGAGCTGTTCTCTGACTGCGGCTCAGACCCACGGGCGGAATCAACTGCGGAGACTTAGGGACGGGACCCTCTGCGTCGTGACCACGTCACCTAGGCCACGTGAGGAGAAGGAACAGCCTTTATCAACAGTCTCAACACCTGCCCAGAGGCCACTAGCCTCTATACCCGTCCCCTGCTTTAGTTCAGACGCATATCATATCCCACCCCGACCGTCACGACGGCCTCCCAGCCTCGTCCCCGTCACCAGCCAGGGGCAGGGCCACCCGCCATCAGACTGCTGGCGAAAGGACACGTATCCCACGGCCACAGCCGCGACCCAAATCTGTAAGGTTCAAGGCTGGTCCTTCGTAATGTCAGAGCCAAAACACGGCCGTACACACATTCCTCTCCCCAGCTAGAATCTGGGAAGCCTGAGCGCACCAAGAGGGCAGCTCTTCCGGTTGGGGAGAGGAAAGCGGTACTTACTCACAAGGACCACCCCTCAACCCGACACTACAAGGTCCGGGACGAGGCCACGGGCTGCTTGGCGCGAATCCAGAACCTCAAGGCGCCGCCAACAGCTGCAGGGCTGGCCCCGGCCCGACGCCCCGCCAAGCCCGGACGGCCAGAAGAGCCAGCTGTGCGGGGTCCAGCCCTGACTGGCCGTGGCCCGGAGAAGCCCCGGCTGCCTCCACGCGTCCCCTGGACCGGCCCTGCCCGCCGCGTTCCCGAGCTCTGTGGCTCAGTCCCGCCGCCCGAACACGCCCTGCGAACCCAGCTCCAGGCACCAGCAGAGCGGCCCGCTCACACACAGACCCGACCGAATCATTCTGCCCAAAGCCCCAGCCCCACGTGTACTGACGTCTGAGATTCTCAGTGCGCAGTTTTATAATTGGCGACATGAACTTTATTTTTCTACTTTTCCCACACCCCAAACTCTCCACCCTCCACCCTGCAGATATACAGGACGGCTCCCAGGAGCGCACGCACATCTCTCCTCCCTCCGCTGCCCCTTGCACACTCATCTGCAAGGCTCAGCTGGACATCACTCAGTCAGAGAACCATTTTCTGGCCACCAAAGTCTGCATTAGTAAGATCTCACACTCTCTACATGCCACGTGATGTACCCCACACAAGGGATGTCTAAAACACACAGTACTGGGTGGTAACATTACTGCAACGCAGTAAAACCAAAGCACCAGGTGTGTGTGTGTGTGTGTGTGTGTGTGTGTGTGTATGTCTTTCTCCGACTATCCTGTTAGCTCAAGAAGGAAATGTGTCTTATTTATCTCTGTATTCCTTGTACCTGGTCCGGTGGGCTACTTATAAACTTCAGCTGACCAATTAAACAGTACAAGTGACCGTGAAATCAACAAACACACACACAGCCCTGACTACGTGCAGCTAAAGCTCTCTTCTCCTTAACTCAATTACGAAAACCCCACGTAGATTCTATCTTTAGGAAGCTCAGTAAAATGGGGCTAAACTACTACCAAAGTAGAGTGAAACCTAGCAAGTTTTCAAACCCCATACATCTGTATACCTCCCCTCCGGACTCACAGAGTTCTTTCATTTCCTGACCCTTATCGCCCACCATTACTGACCCTTATCGCCCACCATTACTGGTGAGGCCAAGATGCAGGGCCACCCCCTCGTGAAGCTAGGCAGGCCATTGTACTCTTGGAAAGGGTTATATCTTTCTGGGGATACTGCTGGCCACCGTCCCTCCACCAGCTTTACTTACATGTCACATTTCACCATGAGAGGGAGGTCCCAGTGGCGGGCAGCGGGATATTCTCAGGGTCCATGGCTAAGTGACACTTAGGTCACCCTGCCAGACCGAGCTCTAAAGTTCTGTGGTTGCCTCCCCCAACCCCACGTGATCAAAACCTACACCACCCTGATGAAAACTCCAAGAAACAAATGCTGGGTTCAGAGGGGAGGGATCCACATGGAGGGAGTCATCCCTCTGGAAGGACATATTCAGTGTATGGCTGTAAGAGTCCACAACGATGGGCCCAGTGACAGTACCTGAAGTGGGGCTGGACACATAAATCCAAGCTAAGACAGAGCATGTAAATAATGAAGTCTTTTCGGTGAGAAACGAGTATAGGTTTTTTAAACACGACTTTATGCAAAGGGCTAGAACTTACTGGAAAGCCAGCTAGCTGCCCTGATTTATTACAGAGTGCAGTGAAACATGGATAAGCACCAGCCTAAGGGTCTAAGTCCTCGAAGGAAAGACAGTTTGAAAAGGAACTGTATCGTGGAACCAAACATAACGAGAGGAATGG